TGGTTAAAGAAAATATATTATTCAAAATTAGACAGAGTGAAGTCTGGCTTGAGGAAGTAACCGCTTGAGCTAAAGCCGACCCGTATTTAATTTCACCTGTTCCGCCATTTGGAGCAACATGGATGAACTTGGAGAAAATTATAAGTGAAATAAGCCAGGCACGGGAAGAGGACTACTTCATGTCCTCACTTATAAGTGGGAGCTAAAAAATACACAAAGAAGAAAGAAAGAAAAGAAAGAAAGAAGAAAACCCCATCATAATCATACGTTGAACTTTCAGAAGAAGCAACAGAATTGTGGTTACTAGGGGTAGGAAAGGGGGATGGGGGACGGGGTTAGTGAGAAATTAGTTAATGGACCCAAAGAATGATTATGTTTTGCAATGATGAACTTGCTAATTATCCCGATTTGATTATCACATATTGTATACAAATACCAATAGTCAGCTCTGTACTCCACAAATATGAACAAATCAATTATGTTTCAATAAAAAAATCAACTTAAAAATTAATTTCACCTGTTTCTTTTCACTTTATTCCAACGTGGCTGCTAGAACATTTTAAATTACATGTGCAACACACGTTATATTTCCACTGGACAATGTTGGTCTAAACAATTACAAACAAAATGTTAACCATCTCCAGGAATGGAAATCTGACAAACCCCTTCAGGGTCAGATCTATCTCTTTCGATTCAACAATGAGGGCACCACACTTGTTGAGTGGGTGAGAAGCTACAGGATAGGAGGCCCTGCAGTAACTACTGAACAGCAGAAATACAGGAAGTTAAATCTGTGGCAGACCATAGAAAGTGTCACGGGGAGGTAAACTTTAAGTGCTATGGGGATTAAAAGGAGGATGACAGCTTCTCAGGTTGCTGGCAAGGAGGAAGCAAATGAGCAAAGGGCTTTGAGAAGAGGTGAGGATTTTGGCCAGGCCGGACGGGGACAAGATGCTATGGGAAGAATGCTGGGCTCCACAGCCCCTGCTCCCTCAGGCTCCTCTTCCCCCATCCCAATCCTCCAGGGTCCAGCCCTGGGCCTCTGTTCTTCTCATACCACATACCTTCTTGGGAGGCCCCATCTGTCCCACAGTTTCCATGCCACGTCTATGCTGTGGACTCTCAAGTCTCTATTTCCAACCCATGCCTCTCTCCTAATCCCTGGATCTTATCCAATGCCCACCAGACATCTCTTTGTAGATACTTCTCAGATACTTCAAAGTCCATGGATGCTCCAGCTCAACTCATCCTCTCCTTCCCTCCCTACACTCTAGCCTTTATCATCCTTTTCTTGAGAAAGTGGCAGGGCGGCCCACCTGGCTGTCCAAGCCAGGAACCTAGACATCAACCCAAACTCTTCCCTGTGTTCCAGCCCTACATACGTCTAGCCCCAAAGGCCATGGAGTTTTCCTCCCACCTATTCTCCCACCTGGCCCCTTCTGTACATGCCCATCACCACTACCTGGGTCCAGGCTGTCATCCCGCCTCAGCTGGATGACACAACATCCTCACTATACTTGCCTCTTCCCGAGTGGCCCCTCAAGCCACCCTTTATACTGTTGTCAGGGTGATCTTACTACAGCTGAAAACTGCTCCTTTAACAGTTCCATGCACTTTTCAGGGTGAAGTCCAAATTCCTGAATTTAGCACATACAGTGGGACTTTATAATCTGGCCCTCGCCCACCTATCCAGCATCATGTCCTGAGTCTCTCCCCCTGTGCAAATACCTCTGCACATTCTTTTCCCTTTGCCTGGGATACACTTTCCACTTCCTTTTTTTTTTCTTTTTTTTTCCTTTTTGTCTTTTTTACTGACTGGCAACGGGATCGCAACCCACGGTGTTGCGCCCGTACCGGGGACCGGCAACGGGATCGCAACCCTTGGTGTTGCGCCCGCACCGCACTCAGCCAGTGAGCGGGAACTGGTCTCCCAAGCAGCGCACTCTCCAGTGCGCCACCGGGCCAGCCCCACTTTCCACTTTCTTAAAGAATTTTTTATTGTGGTAAAATAGACATAAAATAAAATTTATTATTCTAATCCCATTCCCCCCCCCGGTTCCTTCCTACTACTTGTCCTTCAAATTCAGCTGAAGTATGACCTCTTTTAAAAAATCTTTTCAGAGTCCTCAGCCTGGGTGAGGAGCCCTTCTCTTGTGCTACCAGTATCATAGCCCCCATCACACTGTACTCTGTGCTGGCTTATATCTCTTTTTACAGACTCCCTAGGACAGTGTCTGTGTCTTATTTAACTGTATCCCCAAGGCTGCAGAGTATGGTTGTACAGGTCATGCACTGCACTAGGATACTTGGCTGAGGAAGTGAGTAGGAGATGAAGGCCATTAGTCAATTGTGTACTTGGTACAGGACTGCAGCCAGGCCTTTTCCTAATTTGCACAAAGGTGACATCAGTGAGCCCTTTGTATCCCCAGTGCTTGCTATAAAGCAGGCATATTGTATTAGTAGGTGCTCATTTAGTGTTGAGTAAAGATAGGCTGATGTTCTAAGCAAAGGTACAAGGGAAGATATGGGGGTGGAACTGGATGATCGGAATTAAATTAGGGGGTTCGGAGGCAAGGTGTAGAGGGTCCCTTATGTTGGGCTGAGGGGCTAAACTTTAATTCTGCAGGCAATGAGGAATTTTGAGAATTTTTGAGAGGATTGTGATTTAGAATCAGAAAATATTCAGATTTGAAAATGAGACATGAAGAAGTCAAGTCACTTGTTGAAGGACAATTGGGAAGTCAGAGGCAGGGCCGGGACTTGAACTCACGCCTCTTGCCCCTAGCTCAGAGCTTGCTCTTCCACTGTGCTGTGGGGAAGCCCTCGGAACTGAGGCGAGTCCTCAGCACCCTCCAAGCCTCCAAGCCAAATCTCCCCAGCCTTGGGACTCTCTCTCCCCCCTGACACACCCTCTTGGCAATGGTGGGCAGATGGACAACGGTCAGCAGGCTGGAGGTGAGAAAGGTGGGGAGACCACTGCCACTATCATGCAGCCTCCTCAAGGCGCCCCTGTGGTGTCTGCAGAACGCTCACCTAGGCGAGGTGAGGTGCATCACCCATCAGCTTCCTCCTCTTCATGCAAGGTAAGCACTCTAGTTTTTGAAGCCCTTTTGTTAATTGAGAGATAGCGCCCTCACTGCAATCCTTTTGTTACTTATCCCTGGACCCTGGCTAGTTTCATCAGGTTCTTTCAAAAACCACTTTCCGCCTCTAGCTAAGGGGCCTTGCCCACGGCAGGTCTTATCAAGTGTGTGTTGGACGTGCAACACACGAGACCCCTTGTTTGCTCTTTCAACAGGTGAGTTCATCTATGATCTTCCATGGCCCCCCCCCCCGTGTCTCCTCCTGGCTTATGAGCCCCTTGTCTGGCTTTCCTGATTTCATTTCTCTGTAGCTCATTTCTGGATTCTGAATAAATTCTTTTATCATTTTCCATTTTCACTTTCACTCTGAGTCTGAAGAGCCATTTCTCTAATTTTTTAGAGAAAATTGACTTCTCAAGCTTTATCCCAGGTTATGGGAGCTCTGTCCTTTGGTGCACATGATAATCATGATAACAACATTATTGCCAAATATGTATCAAACATGTACTATGATCCAGATATTGTGTCTGCCTCTTTTATAAAAATTAGATCACTTAAGCCTCACAACAATCTTATGGGGGTAGAGCTATTATTAGCCCCATTTTACAGGTGAGGAAAGTGAGGCAGAAGAAGATCAAATAACATGCCCAGGGTGACCCAGATGAGATTTGTACACAGGCAGTGATTCCAGAGCTCGTGTTTACATCAGGACACCATGCAGCCTCAGCAAACAAAGTCTTAGACACTTTCCCAGGTTACTGATAACAGAGATTGCAGAATAGTGACTGGGAGAGTCACCATGCTGGCAGGAAGGCCCAGAAGTTGCCAACTGTCACTCTTAGACTAGGTCTTCCCTAACCAGCTACATTCTCCTACATGATGGACCCAAGATCGCAACAATCCAAAGAGAACAAAGCTTATCCATGAGGCCCAGCTGGATGGCAGGTAACCCCCCTCCTCTATGGCCATGTCTAAACCTTTCCACTCTGTCACCAGAGGCTCTTTAATTGATCTGGCACAATTAGCTGTGTACTAAGTCATCGTAATTTCCAGCGTGCAGCGACAATCCCATTGATAGATGATTTTATGCTACAGCTGTCCTAGGTATGAAGTTAAGTGTAATTAACTATCATCAATTAATGGAACACTTTTTCTCTTTATATATAAATTAGACAGACTCCACCTTCTCCCTTCTCTGCCTTCACTAGGCCTGAAAGATAAGGCTGGAGGTGCTGTAATAAACTAGCCCTGGAGGGCTCCAGGTTGGGGGCCCTCAGCATTGGATGACACTCATCTTCCTCATTTTCAGTTTGATTTCTTATCTGCCCATTCCACAGTTAACCTTTTCTGACTTGTCAGACACCTGTAGCCAGCTCTCCCAGCCCATCAAAGGTGCGATGCGACCTTCTCCTTGGTTCTCCTCTCTTCCTCCCGTGCTCACCTCCCAATTACCTGCCGCTGCTGGGCCCCAGCTGCACGCTGCGGGAGGCTCCATGGGGAGCCCGCCTCCAGGGCTGGGGGCAGGGCCACGGCCTCGCTCCCTGCTGGGCAGACTGTCTGTGCTCTTGATTATTTACACCAGAGCTTCTCTTCACTGGGGCGGAAGATTGAGAAGTGACCATATAATTGAGGAACGTCTCCCTGTCCCTTTCCTTAGACACAGCCTGGCTCAGCTCTCAAGAGAAGACAAAATCCCACAGTCAGGCATAGAGTGCTTTCAAGGTCCCACGTTTTGTCTAGTATTTAGGTTTCTCATTCCATCATTCTGGGTTTCTGTCCCTGCCCTCCTCAGTTCCCCAAATTCCTGGACAAGACGCCCAGGAACAAAGCCAGAGGGTAAATAAACACTGTTTCCCATGGTGACAGGGACAAGCAGTGAGGACAGACAGCTGCTGGCTGCCAGCACCCGACACTCACCATGGTTTATCCCTTGATCCTTTTGCAGGAAAGACTGTGTGCTGTTTGCTGCTGGAGGTAAGTAGATTGTCTTTGGGCGTTTTGAATGGCTTTGAGGTGCTGCTGGCAGAATTATGGCCGCTGAGACAGGCTTTCGTTTTCACCTGTACTACTGATGTCCTGGGATTGGAGGCTGGGGACGCTGGAGAGGGAGAAGGTCTGCACATTGACCCGTGTCTTCTCTCTGCAGGGGGAGAAAGAACAGAGCTCAGTACAGATCTGTAGCAAGTGAGTCTCTCACACACTCATACATCCTCACATACACCACAGGCAAAGAGAAGTGCTTTTCTTGCAATGTTGGCATCCTGGAAGCCTCAGTTCTGATGACGGTTTGTCTTGACATCTGCTCCTATTCTGCCAGCTAGCAACGATTACATTCTGGATTTCTGTATCAAACAGCACACTAAACTAACACCGAGGTTGTCATGGGAGGCATTTACCAGGCCATCCTTCTGCAAAGCCACTTCCATGGGAGTAGCAGAGGGACACTGGGTGTTACCTGAATGTAGCAGGATAACCACATATCCAATGTGATCCCCAGATAGCTACTCAGAGGCCACCAGGTCCTTCAGGGCAGTGGGCAGGGCAGGGCTCTCAAAAGAACAAATAGAAAATTCTCACACATGACCCTCTGCAGAAGTGCCAAAGTTAGGGAGACCAGAAGGGCTGAATGAAAGGGTCTTTGAGAGTTGGGAGATAGCCCAGCATCTATCCTGTCCTGGGGCTGAGGAGACAGTCAGTTGACACATGCCAGCTGTGGCCTCTCCAGGGTCTGATGAAGTTCAGGGCCACACATGCAGGAGGACATCAACACTTGAGGCAGAATCCACACTGTGGGACACGGACTTGGACTGGCATCACAGCTTGCTGAGGTTCTGCAGAAAATGCCAGAGCTCTGGGCAGAGAAGCTGCACGTGTTCATGCTCTGTCAGCCCCTGTGGTCTTGACTCAATGGGCAGGATGAGGACACTGACCAGGACAGCAGATACCCACTAGGGTGTTTGTTAACTGTTTCAGGGTAACAGATTTGATGAAAGTAAAGGACTCCAGAAAAATACACATTTACTCATGCCTGAAAACTCTGTACACGATTACAGGAGGAATCCCAAACCCTAAAGAGACAAAGGCTCTGGAAATCCCAAGTTTTCTCTGGCTTTTATTCCCCACATATGATTAGTGCTTAAGATGTGTTGAATAAATAAATGAAATGATAACAGACGTCCTCATGGGAAGAACTAGAGGTCACAAATCCGAAAATCTGGGTTGAATGTGATGGGAGGTGAGAGGCAAAGATGGCAGACTGCATTCTCCTCCACCCAAAGCTCAGTTTCAGGCTCCTTTTGTTAGCACAGCAATTTTGGTTGCTCTTCCAGGCACCCTGACCTGGAGCAGGAAAGCCAGACTATCCTTGGCTACCTGGCATGGGAGTATGGAGTTTCTCTGTGCTCCCTTGTACCCATGGGCTGCCAGGGCTGACTCAAAGCAGACCGATTTAGTCTTCTGATGAAATGAGAATTAGGGGAGAAAAAGTAGATTTTTGAGGATTGTCTGATTGCTGGGTATTTTTGCCTGACCAGTGTTCACATGTTTCCCACACAGAATAATTTCACAGGGTAATTTTTCTTCATTGATTCAGAGTAGACCTTGTATACATGCTTAGTTCCCAGAAGCCATCCTATGGAAGTGTAGTGGATTGAATTATGCCCCCCCTCAAACTCACTGAAGCTTGAATTGTGTCCCCTAATTTTATGTATTAGAAACTTGGCCCCTAGTGTGACTGTTAAGAGGGTGGGAAATCTTATTATGGTAATTGAAAGGTGGAGTCTTGAAAAGGTAATTGGACTGTAGGACCGTGCAGTAGTGAATGGATTAAAAATGGTGGTCAGGGGTGTGGTTCTGAGGGCTTTAAAAGAAGAGGAAAATCTGTCTGTCTGTCTGCTCCACCATTTCACAATGTGATACCCTGCATCACTGTCGCCATCATCAAGACCCTCACCAGATGTGTTCCCTCGACTTCGGACTTCATAGCCTCTGAAATCGTAAGCAATAAATTTTATTTTCTTTATAAATTACCCAGTTCCAAGTATTTTGTTATAAGCAACAGAAATGGACTAATACAGGAAAGTTTTGAAAACCAAGAGCTAGTTCCAGGCTTCTGTTTTGATGTTGTAGAGAGATCACTAGACTGGGAGCCAGGAGACCCAGGCCCAACCACACCATATATTAGGCTTGTGGTCTTGAGTTTGCCATTTAAACTCTCCTGGTTTCTGTGTCTTTATCTGTAAATGAAGTGGGTCCCTAGATAGCTTCTAAGGCCTCCTTCTACTCCATTATCATAAATACAAGGCATTCTGATACCTGCTCCTTCTCTTCTCATTCCTCATGATTCCTGGATGTTATAGCAATAATCACAGCTGAAGAATTGAACTATTTTACTCAGGCAGGATCTTCCTTGGAGGAGTTCATCCTTTGTAAAATTGTACTGGCCTTTACAACCCCTGTGGGACAGGCAGGAAGCAGCCAGGCGTCTCCACCCTCCTCACGGCTGACTGGCCAAAGGAGACCCAGAGAGGCGAGGTGATCGCCAAGGTCAGGGCCAATGGCTACTGAAGAATGGGGCCTCGGTGCCGTGTGCATGGGCCAGCCATTTCTCAGGAAGGCAGGAAACGAGGTATATTATGAACAAGGTTTGAAGCCAGGAAAGTAGGAAATGCAGAACTCAGAATCTCTGAAGATTAGAACTGGATCTTAAAAGTCAACTAGCCTGATCTCCTTTCTAATCGATGAGGTTGTCTGTTACTAACCCATAGGGCAAAGCTAGCTGGTGGCAGTGCAGGGACTAGAACCAAGTCTCCTCACTTCAAATCCATAGTCGTTTCTGCCCTTTAGAAATTTCTTATTTAGCAATTTCTTTTTTGGCAGAGGTTTAATACTAAAATAAGACTTTGATTTTTACCACTGACTGTTTTAGATTTGTCTGTAGTCTTCACTCACTCACTTGCCATCACTTGCTCAAAGTTGGTGGGGACTGGGGGGAGGGGAGGATGTACAGAAATGTTCCTCAGTTTAGGTGGGGAGTTAAGCCTAAATAACAAAGGTAAATTTTATTTTGCTAAGTGAAGGGTTAAAAATTATACAAGTATACAACTAAAGATAAATCACAAGGTAGGGTGCCATTAAGCACAAAATGATCAGGACAGACCAGAGATACCAAAATCACCTTCCCTGAGAATTCTGGTCAGTGGTCCTGGCTGACTATATTCTGCTGCTAAACTTGCAGAAAAAACTATATCAACAGGTAAGCTTTTTTCTTGGTTTTATATTTTAGCTCTATATGACCCTCTTAAATGACCAACTGGAAGAACAAGTTGCATATGAAAGAATATGCACTGAAACCTGAAGACAGCCCTTTGCCCTTCATGTGTTTTTTTGTTTAATGTGTGACTTTGTATTGCAATAAATAGACGAAAGCAGTATTTCTCACTTGTAAAACTGTTCCTTGTTCTGATTGAATCAAATCTATCACTATTTCACGGTATTCCACAGAGGTCCGTATTTCTGGCCCCTGAGCTGGGGGACCAAGCTTGCCCTACTGGTGCAAGTGAGAAAAGCTACGTAAAAATTTAAAGTGGCGGAACCTCCTGCATCAGTGTGGTCAGGGCTACATTTAGGAGGTGAGCTGCAGCTAAGCTTGTGAAAACTAGTAGACCTGATGTCCGAGGTAGGGCAAAGTGAATAGATTTTAAAGAAAGATCCAATTCCTCTCATCTGTGAAGAACTGCCTGTAGATGACTTACAGTTTTGTCTTTTGGTGGACAGGTGGGTGGGCTGGTGATGGGAGAAAGCAGGTTTTTGTTTCTTGTAAAAAGATGGTGCTATGCAGGTGGAATTTTTCTGAGTAAAGCTTTCCAGATTTATGTTAACAATCATGCTGATACAAGCCCTCACCCACCTTGAGCTTAACCATTTCTTTCTATGTTTTGGTTAAGGGATTGCTTTAGGTAGATCCCTATAAATTATTCTAGTTCAACTTGCCCTGCTCAGAAAGAGTTTATAGAACATCATGTTCCTCACTCACTGTTAAAATTTTTTATAGACAAGCAATTTTAGAGAAAAAGGTCATTTCCTTCTGAACTTTTCCAATCTTTGTTAATAGCTTTAACAAATAATAATAATCTTTGTTATATAGCTGTATTAACAAAAGTATAATCAATTGATATTTTGGACAATTCTTTGTCATCTAACATTCTATACATACATATCCAATTCCCATATACTTGCCATTTTAAATGGTTAGATAACATTCAATCATGAACATGCTGTAGATTATTTAGCTACTCTCTTACTATCTACTTACTGTTCATTTAAAAAAAAAAACTAATTTATTTAAAAGTCATTTAGAATGATTTCCTTGAGGTATAGTTCCCAGAGTGAAAGGTTGCAACAGTTTATAGCTCTTGCTACACATTTCTTTCTACACCATGTGACAGAAAGCCCAAACCAATCTATTGTGCTAATGTTGAATATAAGTACCACTCACCCACTGAAGTGAAAACAGAAAATCACTGTCAGAACACCCATGCAGAATTAAGTATCCAATACATCAAGAACAACCTCAGTGAGTGATCTTGGGCCAGCAATCTCCTGTCCTTTTATTAAGATATTTCTATATGCAATACTTTACCAAACACTTGATTTACTTTGCAGCATTTAATTCCTTACAATACCCTAAAGAGGTACTATTGGTATCTCTATTCTACAGATGAGGAAATTGAAGTTCAGAGAGACAGTGAGTTGCCTAAGGTCACAGAGCTAGGAAACATCAGATCTAGGGATGTCTTCAGAGCCTGTGTCTTAACTCAGCTCCACCACCTTGAAATCTTGGAAGATGCTACTGCAGATTGGGAGAGCCTGGAGGAGCCAGCAGGACCTCCTCCCTTCCCACTGCCATGGGTATTTCAGCCGGGCACCCAACTGCCCTAGGGAGGGGAAAGAAACACCTTTTAGGTGCCAGTCAGAAGCCCCATGCCATAGCCTGAGACCTCAGTCTCAAAGAGTTGGGAGCCCCAGGGCCAAAGAAATGAAAAACCAAGTCCTTTTAATTTTTTGAATTTCCACACCAGAAAGTCCAGGCCAAGCCCTCAGCAGCTGACTATTTCAAGACCACCTGCTTCACCAGAGCCT